GGTGTGGGTGTGGGTGTGGGTTTTGGTGTGGGTGTGGGTGTGTGTGTGGGTTTGGGTGTTGGTGTGGGTGTGTGTGTGGGTGTGTGTGTGGGTGTGTGTGTGGGTGTGGGTGTGGGTGTGGGTGTGGGTGTGGGTTTTGGTGTGGGTGTGGGTGTGGGTGTGGGTTTGGGTGTGGGTTTGGGTGTGGGTGTGGGTGTGGGTGTGGGTTTGGGTGTGGGTGTGGGTGTGGGTTTGGGTGTGGGTTTGGGTGTGGGTGTGGGTGTGGGTGTGGGTTTGGGTGTGGGTGTGGGTGTGGGTGTGGGTGTGGGTGTGGGTTTGGGTGTGGGTGTGGGTGTGGGTGTGGGTGTGGGTGCGTGAGTGCTTGTATATGACCCATTTTATAGTCTTTATTAAGTGTAAACCTAAAACTGTGTTGCATGTTATGTGTTAATTGCTCATTGTTCTTGGCCATTTACAGATTTCACAGTTTAGTTCTTTACCCACAGATTTCAGGATTGGACTTTCAATTAGGGAAATCACCTCGTAACATCGGTTTCAGTTCAGTCTAATTGCTCGGGCCTGAGTCACCAACAGACTGTGTTTTCAATAGGCTATAAAAAGGAGGCGACAGATAATAGCAATTGGTTCTGGGTACCTACCACAGGCTTAGATAACCGACCCACATTCAAATAGCAGTGCAGAAATACACAAGAGTAGGTGCGAAAGTCATACCAAATGAATGTGTTAATTTTGAATGTCGCGACAAAACCATTTCCATATTCACAAGGAATCACTGCTGAAAGCAGAGTCTATTGTTTTATTATATACTTCAGTGTGAAAGACTGAGTTTTCTGAAGTTGAGAAAAGTGTTATTTTCATTGCAGTGAACATAACACCTGATATTTCACTGCAGTGAACATAACACCTGATATTTCACTGCAGTGAACATAACACCTGATATTTCACTGCAGTGAACATAACACGTTGACCCGTACTATGTTAGCCTACACGAGACAGCTCGTACACAAACTGTTGATTTACGTCAGTTCAACGTTGACAAGTCATAGACAGATGGTCATTTATGTAGTCAATACCGATTCTTACCGTTTGTTATTTTGTTGAAAATGATTTGTATTAAACTGTGAATTTCTCTTCTGATTTGTCAGTTGATACTTTACGTTTGCAAAGCTCCATTTTGTTACTTGAATTGCGTGTATTCTTTCGCTTCGAACAACCGTCTCATTGATTTGAAATTTATTTTTTGATGAAGTTGATTTTGTATATAATCATATCCAAATGTATATTAAAGAATTTTAGTGACATCAAATATTTTTGGTTACTTTTGTTTATATTTTTTAAGATTTAGCAAAGACGGAACTACATTTGTAGTCGTACTTACAGGGGGTGGAAAACCGTCCATGTGTGTTATGTAGGGAGAATTTATGCTTGAAGGTTTTACATTTGTAATGAAATAATTTAATCTTCCTCCAGACAACTACACCAAAAGAATATAATAAATAGGATATTTCATGTGTCGAGTGAAATATCAAGTTTCTCTCACCTCGTGACGGGGGAAAGGAGATATTTTCACGAGTGGCGAGTCACTCGGTAAGAGAAACATGATATTTCACTCGACACATGAAATATCCTCTATCTATTCCGACTATATGTTAATTATGCTCTTGTTATTAATCACCATAGTGATGCTACCAGGTGTTCTCGAAAAGGTGAGCGTATCCTGCCCTGTCGGTGGCAACCCGTCACAAAAGCATGCTAAGGCAAACCAGATTCAATCTGAAAACACATGGAAATATGTCAGAATAGGGAATTGCATCGGATATGATTTTGCGTCAAATTTGGAAATGTCCTGCACATGTATACCATAAAACTTTACAATCGAGGCCTTCAATGTTGGGACCCTGATCAAACAATTTTGGACAAAGAGTCTTACGACGCTCTTCCACAGCAGCTGTAACGTAGCTGCTGGAATATTGCTCCACATAAGGGTACGTTGACTATTGGAATATACAGAGGTTATCACGCGAGTGTGTTTGGGGATGGTAAATATCATGTATTAGGAATAAGCATTGTATTTAACGAGCCATGGCGAGCTAAATACATGCTGTTTATTCCTAATACAGGATATTTACCATCCCCAAACACAAAAGCGTGATAACCTCTTTATCATATAATATCATTCTTCAATTCTGTGCTTGAAAATCGCTTCCCCTAACTCACAAACATTACCTAAACATTGCGAGTTTTCCTGGAATGCGCGCATTAATATTTATTACGTCACAGGGTAAGTGATGTGTCAGTCGGACAGTGACAGTAGCCAATATAGTTCCAACTGAAATCTCTTTCTTACACAGTGGCGAAGCAACTTATACTCAAAACAACAATTGTTTTTACTTGCCTTTCGCGGCAATCCATCGCTCTTTCCGCTATAGTAACTGCCCTTTGTCAAAGGACCTCGGTCATCATCATCGCCCCAGCAGACAAAGGCAAGGCAACTGTCATCATGGACACCACCCACTTCAACACCTTAACCGACAACATCCTCAACGATCAATCAACCTACAAGCAGCTAAAGAAAGACCCCACCAATAGCCTACAGAAAGAGCACAAGACCATACTCAACCAACTTCGGGACAGCAATGAAATCGGCCCCACCCTCCACAAAAAACTCATCACCAGTCACCCCAAACCACCTTATGCCCGGGCAACCATAAAAATTCACAAAGACCCCGTCAAAGCCCGTCTCCTAGTCTGCCCCAGAGACACAGTCCACTACAATACGGCCCAGCACCTAGCCCGCCTCCTCGCACCTCTTGGCAAGACTGCCAAGTCTTTTGTGAAAGATTCGTCAGAATTCTGTAAGAAGATTCTCGACATCCCCCAACCAGGAACCCTCATAAGCTACGACGTTGTCGACCTATTCACGAATGTACCCCGGGACGAGGCCATGGAAATCATCACAACCCGCGTTGAGGAAATCCTCCCATCCCTAGACACCCGCCTAACAACTGACAGCATCATCCGACTCATACACTCCTGTATCAGCTCTACATACTTTACCTGGAAAGACACATTCTATCAACAAACCCACGGCCTCCCAATGGGATCCCCACTATCACCCTTGTTCACCGAGATATTTATGACCCACCTGGAAGAAAAAGCCCTGGAAACATCCCCAATAACTCCCCTCTGCTGGTTCCGCAAAGTTGATGATACCTTTGCCATCCTACATCCCAACAATGACCCCAGAACTATATTGGACCACCTTAATTCCCAAAACCCACGTATGCAGTTCACCATGGCGGAAGAAACCAATCGACAGCTCCCTTTCCTTGATGTACTCGTACAGAAAGATAAAAACGACAAACTCCAGACCACTGTTTATCGGAAACCCACCCACACAGATCAATACTTACACTATGCATCCAACCATCCACCTCAAGTCAAAAAAGGAATTGTGTCAACCCTAGCAAGACGAGCTCACAACATCTGTTCCACGAAGCAACATCTAACTACTCAACTTAGCCACCTCAAACAAGTATTTACACAGCATAACTGCTATCCTGAGCAACTAGTACAACAGACGATAAAGAACATCACCAAGAAATCTCAGAAATCCCCACGTCCACAGTCTGCACCCTTTGTGATCAGCCTCCCCTACTTTGGAATAGTTAGTCACAAAATCCAGAGACTCTTAAAGAAACAGGCCAACATTGATGTAGTCTTCAAAAGAAGTCATACTATTCAGAACACAATTAAAGCCACAGGGAAACCACCATCCAGCCACAAGCCAGAACCATCAGGAGAGGTGTACCACATTCCGTGCAATTGTGGACAAGCTTACATAGGAGAAACATCTAGGCCCCTCAAAACCCGAATTAAAGAACATCAAAGCTCAGTCACCACAGATGACTCTAAATCAGCTCTATCAGACCACATCCGTGACAACCCAAGCCACAGCATCCAGTGGGAGAGAGTCACAACCCTCGCCACCAACCTCAAAGACTTCAAGATCAGGAAACTACAAGAAGCCATCAACATCAAAAGACTTCAGCCCTCAATCAACCGTGACCAAGGCTATTACATACCCCTGGCGTACCATCAACTCATCAAAGACCCCAATCAGCCATAATCCCGTCGTTTACATTACTGGCTTCATCCTTTGTTTCATGGCACTGACTTCACCGATGATTGTCATCACTGCCCTTGTGTGTACACAACAGGCTTCTCTACCCCAGTATAACAATATCTACTCTACTGTACAAACATTGCCTCCTACGTGTATATATACTTGCTTACTGCACTCTGTAAATCTTCCTAAACAATCGTAAAATAACCGTGGGTATAGACCAAACTCTATCGGACCAATGTCCCCTAGAAAATGGTACTCCACAGGGCAGTATCCTCAGCCCCACCCTCTTCAATATAATGATAAACGATCTATTCGAGGGCCTATCCCCTAAAGTAAACACATCAAAATTCGCGGATGATGGAGCCATCTGGATCCGCACTAAAAGCATGAACATGGTCCAAAATTTACTCCAAAAATCTCTTAATAAAATACAACAGTGGGCTGACAAATGGGGCTTCTCCCTTAACTCAGAAAAAACAACAGGAATAGTATTCAAACATAAAAACATGAAACCCGCCTCCCCAATCCTCCAGCTAAACAATCAAACAATCAAATTTCAAAAACAAACCAAATTCTTAGGACTTATTTTCGATGAACATCTCACCTGGGATGCTCACATCCAAAACCTAACAACTAAATGCAGTAAAGACCTAAACACCCTAAGATGCCTAACTGGTTCTAACTGGGGAGCATCCAAAGATACCCTCCTCTCTCTCTACATATCACTAATTAGATCAAAACTAGACTACGGCTGCGCCATATACAACACCCTAAACAACTCTCTATCTAAAAAACTTGACTCAATACAATATCAGGCTCTCAAACTAATTACACGCACCCAACATGGCACCTCCTACACCTCACTTCAGGCCTTAACAGGAGAAATGCCACTAAGTCTACGCAGGGAACAGCTAAGCTTAAATTTCTGGGCCGCGTCCCAATCAAACCCTCTCATCCAAAACTTAATAAACCAAAACATCAGCCCCAAAAACCAAGCTCTAGCTCGTAAACACCCCTTACTTACCCCAATATCCCAAAGAATAACAAACTACCTAAATGAACACCAAATTAAAAATCTTAAACAAAACTGCAAACAATCAAATATCTTCACCCCTAAACTTAAAATACCCAAAATAGACACAACACTAGCTAGCCAAATAAATAAACAAACCGACCCAAACATAGCTAAAACTACCACACTAGCATACATACACGAAAATTGGCCAAATTGGTGTCACATTTACACGGACGGATCCTCAGATCCGACCTCCAAACACACAGGTTTCGGAGTCCATACCACACAACCAACTAAAACCACACAATCCTTCCGACTCCCAAACAACCAATCAATATTCACGGCAGAACTAATGGGCATGGCCTCAGCCCTCCATAATCAAGAATCCAAAAACCACAAAAAAATCCTAATACTTACCGACTCCCTAAGTGGACTGCAAGCCCTCCAAAACAAAAATACCAAAAACCGACCTAAATTAATAAATCAAATACTTAAAAGCTCCAACGACCTAACTAAGGCAGGCAAACAAATAACCTTCTTGTGGATACCCGCCCACGTAGGAATATACGGTAATGAAAACGCCGATAAAGCAGCTAAACTATCCCTCAAAATCCCAGAAATAAGCTTAAACTTACCCATCTCAAAATCAGAAATTAAAAGTGTAAACAAGCAAAAAATCACCAAAAAATGGCATAACCTATATCTAAACTCAAATAGCCAAATCAAAAAAGTGCTCAGCAAACCACTAACCAAACCAAAAATTCTCCATCCATCCAAAAAAATCGACAGAGTAATCACTAAACTCCAAACAGGACACACCAACCTAAATAACCACCTAAAAAATTTTAAAAAACACACTACAGGTAACTGCCCACACTGCAAACAACCAGAAACCCCAGAACACGCACTCATCCACTGCACACACTACCTAACACATCGAACCGCATTACAAACCACCCTCAATCTAAACAAGGCTCTAACTCTAGAAGCAATACTAAACCCACAAAATAAACTAGAAAACTTCAAGGCCTTAGGCGTATTCTTAATCAAAACGGAACTAATAAAACGCATCTAAAAACACAATAACTCACCAAATCAAAATCACATAAACAAACAAACATCCACCATACCCAGCTCCCTTAGTTCTCCTCCCCAATCCCATCGGCATCTATTCCAAATCTCAAAATTCCCAAATTCTATATAAGCAACCCCTAAAACCCCCCTCTTGGGTTGCACAGACCACCTTCGCCCCTTTCGGAAACACATTAAATGGCCTGGCCGGGCCCGTGTGCGAAATACGCATCAGTCGGAAAGCGCACGTTAAATCTCCAAAGTAAGTAAGTAAGTAAGTACTCTGTAAATCACTTGCTTGATAACGGTGTTAGAACCTACACCGAAACGTCGCTCTTAATTGTAATAAAGAAGTTGTTCATCCATAAATTCTTATCCTTACTTAGTACTCCAACTTCTAAATGCCTATCAAAGAAGTTACCTAGTCTATGAGACGTCACGGCCACGGTCGGACGTTGTTGACAGTCTGTCTTGTCATAACGTTAAGAAGTGCAGTCAGATGTACACACAGTGAAAAACGAAACAAGTTAACAATTCGATCATATTTCGGCCAAATCCAACTGTTTTAATTTGTGGAAAAGGTTCCAAGCCGCAGAGGTCTACAAGCACAGATATGGCTACTCATCCCGCTTGGCTAGGCCTCGTGCCCTCGCAAAATTGTTTCGAAATGTATATATCCAAAGTTGCTTAACTTATAAAATGCCTTAGCTACGTCACAGTTAGACAATGATTTTCAGTATATTAGACTGTTCTTTGGATAAAGATAGCAATTATCCCAGACGTTTCTCCAGATTTCCGATGGTTAATTCTGACTCGATCGCCGAATGACGAGGGCGACGCCATGTTTGTTTATAAACACTGAAAGTAGTCCCTACTTGACCTTTGATACTTGCATCTCTATCCGCATATGACCCCAACGGATATCGTTTTTATCCGTGGGATTATCCTCCCGAGAAACCTACCCATTATATGATAAATACAAGTATCCGCCCTAGAACTGTTGTTCTACTTGATACTTCTTGAATTGATAACACAAGTCCGTCTGAGGGTCCACAACATTTTATTGTGGGTGGGGGTGGTAGGGGGTGCTTCTGTCCAGCGCCGAGTTCGCCCGGCGCACACTTTACGGGACACACTGTATATTACACGTGGCATATTGTATATTGCACTTGATAAACAGTATAATGCATGTAATATAATTTTCGATCGTGACAAACATGCCCTCATGCTTGTGAATGCGGCAGAGTGGAAAATCGATATGATTCCATCAAAACTGTATTGTTTGTAAACATTGTCTAATTGCTGAGCAATACTTATGACAGATGGACATTGGTTTAGAATTGGATTAGGTGTGATGTACAATGGGGGACTGCCTAAAAGTCGGGCCAAGAAAAGTCGGGGCGGGCCGGGCCGGGCCAGCGGGTAATACTAAAAATGGAATGCAGAATAATAAAACGAAACATGCATATCTCGGCAGATCTCAAATGGCCAGAAACGGATAGTTTTGCTCATTTAATTGAGTTTGAATCAAAATGCATCTTCAGCAATGTTATGAACTGATAACTATAGCTACATACCGAGAGTTCATACCGAAAAGTCAGTGTCTTGACTGTGTCTTTACTTTGATGAGAAGGTTTCTCACCGACCTTAGCGTGCAGGGGTGTGATGTCCTGGGCAGGAATTCGAAATGACAGTGTTTTAACTACTCTTCTTTCATTAATTAACGTGTTTGGCATACCTAATTAACCTTTACTAATTTATGTTAAACCAACACAGGATGTTTTCTGCAAGTGGATATTCGCGAATGTCATAGGACTGACACGACACGTGTTAATAACTGTCAAAGCGCTTCTAAAAATACAAAACATACTTTACATCTATAGACTAATTATAATATCATATCTACCTATATAACACTTAAGTGTCTCATATTGCAGTAGCAAACACGGTGCTCAAAAGTGAAGCCCTTTTCCCTCTACATTCTCTCTATCAGAAGTGTTTTGCTTGTGTTGGGTCCGACTTGGCCCGGGCGGTCAATATCAACTTTAAACACACAGATGTATCTTCAAATGTGTTTACATCTATAGATTAGTGTTATATCTACCTATATACCACTTTATAATGCCACGGTACATCGTATTCAAAAAAAAAAAGGGGCTCAAAGTGAAGCATTTTTACTATATTTTCTTAAGAAAATCTATGTCAGAAGTGTTCGGTCCGACTTGGCCCGGGCTGTCAAAATCATCTTAAACCTCACAGATATATCATCAAATGGATTCACATCTTTAGATGAGTATTATATCCACCTAAATACCACTTTATAGTGTCTCAGATCGCTGTACCTAAAGGAAACAAGGTGCTCAAAGTGAAGCCCTTTTTCCTCTACATTCTCAACATAGCCTCTATCAGAAGTGTTTGGCATGTGTTTAGTCCGACTTGGCCCGGGCGGTCAAAATCAACTTTAAACACACAGATGTATCTTCAAATGTGTTTACATCTATAGATTAGTGTTATATCTACCTATAAAACACTTTATAATGTCACGGTACATCGTATTTAAAGTAAACAAGGGGCTCAAAGTGAAGCATTTTTACTGTATTTTCTTAAGAAAATCTCTGTCGGAAGTGTTCGGTCCGACTTGGCCCGGGCTGTCAAAATCAACTTAAACCTCACAGATGTATCATCAAATGGATTCGCATCTATAGATTAGTGTTATATCTACCTATATACTACTTTATAATGTCACGGTACATCGTATTTAAAGAAAACAAGGTGCTCAAAGTGAAGCCCTTTTCCCTCTACATTCTCAACATAGTCTCTATCAGAAGTGTTTGGCTTGTGTTGGGTCCGACTTGGCCCGGGCGGTTAAAATCAACTTTAAACACACAGATGTATCTTCAAATGTGTTTATTTCTTTGGATTAGTGTTATATCTACCTATATACCACTTTATAATGTCACGGTACATCGTATTTAAAGAAAACAAGATGCTCAAAGTGAAGCATTTTTACTGTATTTTCTTAAGAAAATCTATGTCAGAAGTGTTCGGTCCGACTTGGCCCGGGCTGTCAAAATCAACTTTAAACACAGATGTCGGACGATAACTCAAAGAAACCTGGTCTGTTAAAGTCGAGCACTTCGCTGAATCTTCTCAAGAAAATTTCACCAAATGTGTTGGAGTGAAGTATACTCTTTACTTACTTACTTACTTACTTTGGAGATTTAACGTGCGCTTTCCGACTGATGCGTATTTCGCACACGCGCCCGGCCAGGCCATTTAATGTGTTTCCGAAAGGGGCGAAAGTGGTCTGTGCAACCCAAGAGGGGGCTTTAGGGGTTGCTTATATAGAATTTGGGAATTTTGAGATTTGGAATAGAAGCCGATGGGGTTGGGGAGGAGAACTAAGGGAGCTGGGTGTGGTGGATGCTTGTTTGTTTATGTGATTTTGATTTGGTAGGTTATTGTGTTTTTAGATGCGTTTTATTAGTTCCGTTTTGATTAAGAATACGCCTAAGGCCTTGAAGTTGTCTAGTTTATTTTGTGGGTTTAGTATTGCTTCTAGAGTGAGAGCCTTGTTTAGATTGAGGGTGGTTTGTAATGTGGTTCGATGTGTTAGGTATGTGTGTGCAGTGGATAAGTGCGTGTTCTGGGGTTTCTAGTTGTTTGCAGTGTGGGCAGTTACCTGTAGTGTGTTTTTTAAATTTGTTTTAGGTGGTTATTTAGGTTGGCGTGTCCTGTTTGGAGTTTAGTGATCACTCTGTCGATTTCTTTTGATGGATGGAGAATTTTTGGTTTGGTTAGTGGTTTGCTGAGCACTTTTTTGATTTGGCTATTTGAGTTTAGATATAGGTTATGCCATTTTTGTGATTTAATGCTTGTTTACACTTTTAATTTCTGATTTTGAGATGGGTAAGTTTAAGCTTATTTCTGGGATTTTCAGGGATAGTTTGGCTGCTTTATCGGCGTCTTCATTTTACTCTTTAAAGTGAAGCCTTTTTTTCATGGTATGTGCCTAGTCGGAAAATCCCTTGCTTTTACCTAATCCGTCGTGTGTTTTTTTCAAGGATCATACTCACAGGGTAACACTTGGAGAAGGTAAGGTGAGACACTTTGCATTTCAGGATAAACCTCTCCCTGAACCCTGCTTAATGCTTCTATTATCTATGAGTGTGTTTAGGAAAACAGGATTATCTGAGACAGTTGTAATCTGCCATACCACGAGAATACGTGCTGCATCTCCGAGCAGCTCGTTCTGTGAAAATTTCATATTTGGCAAGGTGAGCGTATCCTGCACCACCTGTGGAACAAACACACGCAAAGGCAAGTTAGTTGTTAAACCCAAAAAATACGAAAACGATAAGCACAAGTCAAAACAGAGAATTTCATCGGACATAACTCCATTTGCTACTTCTGTGGTAGTCACCAATCAACCCATTTATACTTCAAAAAATAGCTTTAACCCTTTTAAAGCTTTTGAGAAATTCAACAGTATGGTCTGACAAAGCAAGAAGCACAAATGGGGCATGTTTCGGCCAATGATTAGAGTATTCTTGCAAGTCTAAGGGTCCAACAGGAGTTATTTCTGCGACATGCTATTTCAAAACCCAAAATTCAGAGGGATATATATGAAAAGAAAAATTGAAATAATACAAATATAAATTCCTTCCAGGTGAAGGCTATCACTTGAAATCAAATTAACAAAGCAGATTTTAGTCAATGACACATCTCTTGGGGTAGAAGTTCATCTCTGTCACCATGCTATGGTATTTCTGGAAAGGAAAGTTAACTTACAAAGTTGTAATATACGTTAAAGGCTTAATGTTGCTGATTAAGCGCAAAGATATAAACTCTGACTGACTGCTCAGTAACATTCATGTAATATTAGTAATATTCAAATAAGTGTACTTGTTCTAGGTATGTGTGACGTGGGTACATATATATAAGCGTATAGAAGAAACGTCAACAAACTTGTAACTATGTATAAAATAATAAATAAGCCATGTCCTTCATTTATAACTGATCTTATACCACCACTTGTGTCACAGAAGGTCAGTTATAATCTCAGAAACTGCCATGATTTTGTAGTTCCATTTGCACGGACATCTACGTTTAAAAGGTCTTATATTATAGATACATTAGGCCAACAGAATAATCTATCGTCAGGAATTAGGGATAGTCCGTCAATATCTTATTTTAAAGCTGTCGCATCTGAGCAGCCTACATCACCACCTATGCACTATAATTGCGGTGAGAGATCTACAAACATATTGAACACTAGATTGAGACACAATTGTAGCACACTAAATTCCAACCTGTTTCGTGTTAATTATCTGATACTATTTCCTGTAAATGCGGAGCTCCTTTGTTAAAATTCATTCCATTTCTTCTTCCAATGTACCTTATATGATGATATTAGGGAGACATTACTGACAGCTATCGATAATCTTGGAGGACAAAAAAACTCTAATTTGTATTCTTTTTGTGATCCAACCTTAGATGTTTTCCTGAATACAAAAATATTCTTGTCTGTACACAAATTTATAGAAACGAGTAACAGATTCAGAAGCTAGCATATTATGGTTTCCAAACTGTTAATCATTAATATTGTTTAATCTATATACAACACTAACGTGTATAATATTAGCTAATGTATGGGATGCACACTGTCTTCACTTTCCAGCACATTTTACATATCCTTCATATGAGCACTGTATATATATTTATATTGCGCACTATGTTTCCACAATGTGATGCTTCAACTGTAAATTGTAAATTTTCATTATGCAATATTATGTATAACTGTATATAGGGTGAAAGTGGTAATAAGTGCTGCACTTGTGCCCAATCCCTTTGTCTTTGTGGACAATACAATATGTTTAATAATAATAATAATAATAATAATAATAAGCAACCAATGTATTATGATCAGGATCCATTGGTATCCCTTCAGCAAGTGCGAATCAGGTCCTAACACATCTGTTTTGTCATGTATCACGCGCTATACAGTCGAACCTTTCATATGTGAAATGAATGGCAAAAATATGATTTATGAAGTATCTACCAATTACTAATAAAATACATTGTGCTGTACAGACTAACACAGCATGCTGTGACAGCGCGCTGGTTTATTGAAACGGCTGATGAAATGCATATGTAGCCTAGTTTAGACTATAGACTTGTTTTGTGTACAGATGTGACGACGAGGTTGGGATAACCTGACACACATGAGCATTAATAGCCATGTTTACCTGTACTAGTTGAGAGCCAAGGTTGAAGTCATTCATGTGTGAAAAATGTTGTCGAGGCATCTGTAAACGGCTAAAGAAATGCAAATGTAGCCTAGTTTAGAATATACACTTGCTTTGTGTACAGATGTGACGGCAAGGTAAGGGCAACCTGACACACATGAGCATTAAAAGCCATGTTTACCTGTACTTGTAGTTGACTGCCAAAAATGCTGTCGAGGCATCTGTACATCTTCTTTGTCGAATTGCATTATTAAAGTACATCAAGATGAGACATCATATACATTCATATATATTTGTTGAGCACGAAACCTTGAAGTGTAGCCAGGACATTTCCTCAAAACTATGGGCGGCCATGTAGCTTCAATATCTTATAAATTATATCACTGAACATAGGTCAAGGTGTATTCAGTAAACAAAGATCTGAAGGGCTGTATTTCCTTCATCGTACACACTATGCGTTCGTCACAGTTTGTGAAGGATTACGGATACGAACGAACTAGCACTTGTTTGGCAGGTAGGTTTTGTTAAGATTTGTTATCTTGTTCTCTCTCTACCCTCTACTTCCTTAATCACAATTTAAATCCTAAATAGACTTTCGGGCCCAACACTGTGGCAATTTTAGACCCTCTGTTTCTGTATTTACTTGAGCTCATTTCCCCTAAGGTTTTCACATCTCATAAGACTAAGCCATCAATCATGTTAAAGCTGTCTGACATGTTTCTTATGAACAGTTTATGAACCTAAACAATGTCCAAGTGACTTAAGCACAAAAATACGCGAACACTTCTGACACAGAATTTCTTAAGAAAATACAGTAAAAATGCTTCACTTGATGATACATCTGTGAAGTTTAAGTTGATTTTGATCGCCCGGGCCAAGTCGGACCCAACACAAGACAAACACTTCTGATAGAGACTATGTTGAGAATGTAAAGGGAAAGGGCTTCACTTTGAGCACCTTGTTTTCTTTAAGTACATCGATCTGAGACACTATAAAGTGGTATTTAGGTAGATATAATACTAATCTATAGATGTGAATCCATTAGATGATACATCTGTGAAGTTTAAGTTGATTTGACAGCCCGGGCCAAGTCGTACCGAACGCTTCTGACAGAGATTTTCTTAAGAAAATACAGTAAAAATGCTTCACTTTGAGCACCTTGTTTTCTTTAAGTTCAGCGATCTGAGACACTATAAAGTGGTATTTAGGTAGATATTATACTAGTTTATAGATGTGAAGTAATTAGCCAGTAACACTTTGGCCCGTCTTGGCCCGGCCCGGCCCGACTTTTAGGCAATGCCGTACAATGGTTTGCTGTGGACCACTTTTTTATTTAATAATGTACAATACGACTAACTAAATACATTGACATACATACATCCATGATACAGAATCAAGCAAATAAAAATACGAATGCTTACGCTGGTTTATAACAATAATTGGGCATCTGCAATGAGAAAAATGCCAGATACCACCAACAGTATGATTTGGAACCAATTTTTTAGAATATTTGGCCATTCATTATAACATGATGATAGAAATGTTTGCCTCTCTCTTTTAAAAAATATACATCTGAATAAGTAGTGAAATTCATCAGCAATAGATGGAGAATTACATAATATACAGGTTCTATTTTCCTTTGGAATATTTTTCCATCGGCCAGTCTCATTAGGTAAATTATGATTACAGGTTCGAAATCGTAGTATTGGAATTGATATGCGTTTTGGCAAAAGAAGATATTTATCAAGAACCGGAGTGTTCTTTAAATGCTTATAACATAATCCTTTAGAAACAGAATTAACACCACTTCTCCATTTCTGAAAAAAAAATATATCTCTACGTATTTGCTCTACTTCTGACACCAGCCACTTTGTTGTGCAAATTGACGGATTGTTAAATACATAAGATAATCCAATACTATCTAGTATATCCCTAACACATCTAACCCAGTGATTTGTTGATGCAATAGTCTTGTTTCTATTAAGTGACAAATATTGATATAACAGCTGTGAAAGTTTATACACACCAGTTTGATATGTTAATTTGTGCCAGAAAGATATCATTCGTTTACAAATTATTATTCTTAATGGTAGCCTACCTAATTCGCCATATATCATATAAAGAGGAGTTGGATTTCTTAATCCTGTGATAAGTCTGAGGAATTTGAGGTGTATACTTTCTATAATTTCTACATTTTCAAAGCCTCAGATTTCTGAACCCTAAGTTAATATTGGTAATACCATCGTATCAAAGCTGATAATACACAGTCCAAAGGTAAATTTTAATTTCTTGATAATTTTATCAGACAAAACATAGCTTTCGATGCACTTTGACTAAGGGAATAGTACAATTCCTGAATACATATAAGTGTCGACAATATCTAGGGTTTTATCAGAATAGTGAAATTTAAGTTTCAAATTTTTCAATGGGCCACCACCGAAAATCACAACTTTTGTTTTATTTATATTTACATGTAATTTCCACTCTCCACAATATTCATTAAAAGAGTCTAAGGCTTTCTGTAAACCTTCTGGTTATTTATCAAATAATACAGCATCATCTGCATACAATAGAATTATGAATTGGATCCATACAATTAAGTCTTTATCTTCATCATAGTTGAGATTAACTCCTCCACACCCAGATGAAAGCAAAAAGGTTTCCACATCATTTATGAAAATTGAAAATAATAGAGGGGATAGGTTTTCTCCCTGTCTGACACCTATATTACAAGGAAAGTAACCAGACATTTTATCATCACACTGTATCAGCGATTTGATATTTTTATACATATTTTGAACTAACGTAAGAAATCTACCTTTGATGCCAATAGTCTTCATTTTCCTCCATAATCCGACCTGTTACACAGTGTCAAAAGCTTTAGTAAAGTCTATGAAAGCGCAGTATAATTTTTGTTTATTATATGTTAATATTTGCATAAGCATATAAATTACAAATATATTGTCAGCAGTTGTAAAAGATTTCCTGAATCCTGCTTGAGCAGGTGTTAGATTATTATTTTTATTTAAGAATTTAGTCAAACGGTTGTTTAAAATTCTGGTGAATAGTTTTCCCAAACAGCTAAGGATAGTGACAGGCCTATACGAGTTAGGATCCAGTGGGTCACCTTCTTTCTTGTAAATCGGTTTAATTATTCCCACTGACCAAGATTCTGGAAGTATACCCTTTTCAAATATCAGGTTAAATAGTTCAACTAACAAAGGGGTTAATAAATCAATACTATCCATAAAATAATCATTTTCTATATATTCAATACCGGATGCTTTATTTCTCTTTAGTTCTCTTACTGCTATCATAACTTTGTCAGATGTGACACCTCCATTTAAAGTTTCAGAGTCATATTGAGTATCCATAGTACATTGCTCCATTTCCGGGTCTTCTGAAGTTGTCTCATTCATCGATTTAAAAAAACTGGTAAAATACTTCAATTTCATCTAACATTTTCCAAAACTCTTTTGGAGAGTGTTAGTGTTTTTCTCTTAACATTTTACCTAAGATATCTTTATATTGTTTTATATGCTTATCCATACATCTTATAAGCCCTATATTCATATTTTAACAGGCGTTTATTATAATTAGAATTAAATCTTTTCAAGCGGCGTTTTGCTTTGTAAAAAACCTTTTCTAGCATTTATACATTCCTTTCCAAACCATGGTTTATTCATCTTACATTTCTTACCGACACCCTGCCTCCGGGTCCGAAGGCATCGCGTGCAGCGTCTACCAGCACGTGCCCGGCCTCTTCAGTTATGTCATTGATCAGATGTGGGTCAGCTTGGCCTTGTCTAGCCACATGTGCTTTCCGAGTGAGAATGTTTATCCTTTCAGCATTTAAATGTTGTAGAAACCTGTTAGTTCTGTCTGTATTATAACGTTTTGGTCTAGGATGAGTATTTTGTACTGTATTTACTCCACACTGGATACCTACCGTTTGTTCTTGGAGTACAGTGGTGGCTTAAGAAAAAGACACTGGGCAGTGCACATCTGAATTCAGGGGTGAGAAATCTAAAATGGCTAAGTCAGTGAACAGAAGTAAGCACATGGGGGAGGCTAAAACACAGTCAACAACACTTACATCATTACATGTTGTTTTACTACATTTTTATCCTGTCCCAGTCTACCATTACAGATGAATAAGTTAAGATTTTTACATATCTCTATTATTTTATTCCCTGAATTATTAACCCTTGCATAATCTTGATTAGCCCTGACCTGTGGTATATTAAGTTTATCTAATAATTTATCAGGCTCAAATTCATTACACATATCATTTATATCAATATCAAACTATCTGAGTACTTGCTTATTGAATATGGTATAATCACATAGCTGTTTAGTTCTTGCATTGAAGTCACCAATCAAGACAACATACTCACTCAAAGAGAGAAAAGGAAGTAAATTCTTTTCAATTTTATTGTATGTCTCACTTGTAAAGTAATTTGAATTTTCTGGAGGTAAATCTACTCTTCCCTAAAAACAAATCTTGTTTGGTGTCACATAGTGTCTTTGATATTTTTATCCACAGTACATATTCACATTCTTCTTCTTTTATAACTGATATGTATTTTTCCCAATCACATCTTATTGCTACCCCGAGGCCACCTGAGCGTCTTATTGCTCCGTTCCTATGCTGAAAGTACAGTTTATAACCTGGTAATTGTAAATCATCTAGTGAATCAGTTTTGGTTTCCTAAAATCCTATGATACCCTTGTTTTTAATGAAATTGGTAAATTCTTGATATTCTAACTGCTTTCTAAGGCCACATATATTTAATGAAAGTAGTCTTAGGTGGTTGTGGTTACTTGCATTATAAACATTATCATTATCATTTTCATCATCATCATCATCATCATCATCATCATCATCATCATAACCATCATTTTCAACAATTTCACTGTTATCATCTATACATTCATCAAAAACATCAACATTATCAGCATCGACAGTCA